AATTCTTCTGACTTTTGAATATTTGAATTGGATATTGAATAATAATTTAATTCAAATAATTTTAAACCAACTGTCAACCTTTGCATTTGAATTTAGAATTCTTTAATGGATTTTTAGAATTAATCTTCTATTGTTTATTAAAATGACTTGAAATGGATAGTTTCTGCAAAAAATGAATTCATTTGTTTTGAATTTAAATTAAGGAATTATTATTTTAATCTTTAATATTTAGATCTGATTCCTCCAATCAATAAATAGAATTATTGATGCACCAAATCCATTTATTTATACAAATTACTAATCAATTCATTACATTCTTTTTCAATATGTTCAATAAATTCAAATAACATTGGTAATTCTTATTAATTTTAAGGATGAGAAACATGCATTCCATCTCTCATACATTAAATACAATATAATCTATTTGATTTACAAGACTCATTAACACATATCAATTTAACATCATTGGCATGTTCTGAATTTGGACATCTAATAGTATCAACATTATTTTGTTGCATAATTAATATATATATTATATCTTTTTCTATTTCTATTAAATTGTTAAATAAGTTTATTATTATCAAATTTAATTGTTAAGTATTTATAATTTAATACAAATCAATGCTAAAATACATATTTCATCATATTAAGATAAAATTACTTATTAGTGTTAAATTAAACAAGCAACTGATTAAAAATTATTAGTTTTTCTCAAATAAATTAAAGTTGAGCAAATTTCATTATTCATCTCCTAAATATTGGTTCAGCATTCCATATAATCTACCATTATTTAGGAAGATAAATATTATTACTTATTAATTAGGAGAATAAGTAAAAGCTTCCCTAACTTGACAAGTAAACAAATTTTCAAGTTAGGTAACTTGAATTACAGTATTTTGCCGCAATGTTACGCGAACTCCAGTAATCTTATTTCTAATTAAAAAGTCAATTTAACTAAGCTTGAATAAATTATGATTTTTAAGGTTTCAATGTTTTTGAATATGTAAGTAGGGGATTATCTTGATTTTAAAATAAAATTTATCAAGTAAAAACAATTTATAAATTATCCTATTTTCAAAATTTATTAACCACTATGAGAGAAAAAATTTATAGTTCTTATAATTTTTAATTTTGAATTAATATGAAATTTTTTTTGAAATTTCGCTATGTTATTATGAAATTAAGTGCAATACGATCGAAACTTTAATTTTATTTACTTGATTTTACAACTCAACATTTGAAAAGTGTTTACAATGCATCGAAATCAGTTTAAAATCAAATCTAACAAATCCTTGATTAGATGATAATTAAAAATGAAAACTCAAGTTTATGTGATATTTTTGCATTGCATTAGATTCACAAAATGATGGATAAAATCCAAATTTTAATTTATTTATCATTATTATTTATTATTATAAGAAAAGTAAATAATAAATAAAGGAATGTTTGAATTAAAATTAAATAAATAACATTCATACTCTATATTGTTTAACAAATTCATAAATATTTCCAAAACAATTTCGATTTATTTCTCAGTATTGAATTCATAGCATTATTTGAAAAGCAAACGATAAAATTTTTGTTCATTATTAGGCATGGTGCTATTTTGCACTATTAACTAATGGCTCTTCTAGGTCAACCAATTAATTAAAATAATACCTCATTTTAAGTAATCAAAATTATATTGTTTTGACGTCGAAAATAGCTGAGTTTTGAGCGGAGAATATTTGAAATAATTTATAGAATGTAATTGAATATTTCAAATGTATTTCTTTATAATTATAAGGTCAAACTTCAATGACAGTTCTGGAAAGTAGGATAAAATAATTAAATTACTCATCAATTTAAACTTACAATTAATAAAATTTAATCGATTCCAATCCATTATTGTAAATCCAAAAGGGTTCATTAACCTAACTCTTCAAAACAAATAGAAAATCATTTTTAATACTAAACTATGAACTTCATTAGCAAATAATATTATATCATCTTGGCCGAAAATTATTTTAACTATGTATAAGGTTTATGATCATATTTGATACAATTTATGATTATTAATACAATTGCTGAAGTAGAGATTTTCAAGTAAGAAAATCACTTACTTTGATAATTCTAAATACTCTAATTGCACCACAGGTGAACATAATTTATTTTTCTGAAAAAATTTTCAAACTTGCCCATTAAGAGAGAAATATTTAACAAGTATCTTGATGCGTTTCTTTCAATCTATTCTGATTTTAGCCGGTTTGAAATTCTCACTATTATATATAAATAATCTTTTAATAAATTAAATTAACTAAATGAATAATATAAATCATTAATTTTTTAACAATTAAGGAATATTCAAGGGGTTTGAGGAAAAAGTTCAGGACATCGCACAACGGTCACCAACAAAACCAACGTCAGCGCAAACATATTCATTCTTTTAGAATTTCTTAATTGTTTTTGATTGATCAAATGAGAGAAAGTATTTCATTATGATTAATTATAAACAAATAAACTTTCTAAAGCTAGATATGTCTAATAATTTCAACAATATTGCGAACCTATGAAATTATTATTTATCAGGATTTCGATTTCAATTTGTTACTATAAATGAAATCTCAATTTTTTCAACTAGGGCTGTCGCACTAGAATAGTTATTAAGTGAACATTATGCAGTACATGATTTATTATTTATTCTACCTATTCATTTAAATCTAGAATAAATAGTTCTCTTCATTATTGAGTATAATAATTGACACATCAGTATATAATTGAGGAATTAGGCTGATTTCTTTTTTGAAATTATAATGATTTTTCTGCTATAAATTGTGAAATCAAACAATTCAATTTGGTAAAATCCTCTCTTATAAAAGCCTCAAGATAATTAAATTGAATAATGTGTTTAATCAAATTTATTATAAATCATAAATGCAAAAGATGTTAAAGTTAATGCTAATGCTTCTAATTTTCCATTTTCTAAGAGCTACAAATTAAATTTGTATTAAAAGATAGGATGAATTATTATTGGTCATCAGAGGTAATTATAAGAATGTTTTACAATTAAATGGAGGAGCAATAATATCAACAAAATTAGAAAATGGGTTTGGTTTTGAAGGAGGAAATATGGAAGCTGCCTTGATGGGCCATTTTACCAATTTTTATATCATACGTGGAACGTTCCAGGAAAATCAATTATATGAATTAAATACTTTAAAAATTAGGTTTTTTGATAATGATGGGAGGATCTACAGCGTCAATATTTTTCTATTAAATGAGAAACAAGAAACTTTGATTTATGACGGCAATGCTTAAAGTATATTTATTTTAAAATTTCCTGATTAACTAGTTAATGGAGTTAGAATATTAAATGTGAGTGGAAGTACACTAAGTAAATATATGTATATCTCAAAAGTAGAAGCCTTCTACACTTTAAGTAAATAATGAAATATGAAATAATAATATAGTATTTATTTTAAGCCATTCAACATCATTTAATTATGACATTTTCTTGAAGAAAAGAGTTATTATATTATTAATTATCAAGTTTTTCAAAGTGAAGAGTTGCTAAATGGAAGTTTAAAAATAATGTTAAGATTTTCAGAATAACCAATTATTTTCTAATAGAAATCCTTAACTTTTTGTTATTTATAACCTCAACAGCTTAATAATTAAAAGTTCGAGACATACAGTAGGATTTCAACCTTTAGAAATCAAATAGTCAAGGTAATTCTCAAATCGTTCTGGAAATCTGAAAATTATTCTTCTGGTAAGCTGAAACTTGAGTTGAAAGTTACATCCGCTAAAATAAATTTATCATCCCAGTTTCAACTTGACTATTAATAGTTATTGTCAAAAACTCTATTAAAAAATTCATCAATCAAAACTAGAATTTAACTCATAAAAATTCAAATGCAAAAATGAAGGGTTGATTTCAAAAAATTAAAGAGAAACTCTATATTTTAATTGATGATATTGAATCTTCAATTTAATTTTTTTAGAAGGATATCAACAAATTTCATCCTATTATAATATCACAGGCAATAATTTTCTTCTGGAATTTGAGATTGAAACATAGAGAGAAGAATCTCTGATAAAAACTTAGAAATATTAATACAAAACATAGTGAAGATATGACAATAATTTAAGTTATAAGATTAAACTTCAAGCTTCATGTTTTAAAGAAATATTTTTCAATATTAATATTTAAGTTCTTTGACTAGTCTGTCCCGAAAGTGGTATCTTAGTTTTTCAGTAAAATTATCACTAGTGAATTTGAGTAGACAAAAATAGTTTAAGAAACCTTTTATTGAATTACCCAGCATTAATAATTTGAGTTTAATCATAATCTAGGAGTGGTGAACTTTAATGAGCTATGAATTAAATCAAGTTAACCCAATAAATCATAGGTAGCCATTTAGCAATTATATGCAGATAGTACATCAATCTTGAATTTATCATAACATTTTAGAAAAGGAGCAGAAAATTATTTTCTTAAAAAGTCATATTAGCAAAGTTACAATAAATAAAATAAAAGTTACAAAGTTGATGTAATCATTTTATTAAAAAAAATGTTCTGAAAAAATTTGGATACATAAAACAAAAAATTGAGCCTAAACTATTTATTTTATATCAGTATGCACCTAGGTTGTTGAAAAGTATGATGAAAACAATAAGTATTTATTGAGAACGATTTGGTCTAATTACTGTTATATAATTTCTAAGCAATATTTTAAGTAGCCTAAGCTTGTAATTATATTCTTCATCATACATAAGCTGTTCCGCTTTTAGCATATTATTGGAAGTTTTGAATCACTTAATGGCAATAATCCAAATTGAATAAGAAATATACACATAACATTTTAGGAATTATTTACTCTTCATTGCCTTTAAATGTTATATTAGTAGCACTCAACACTTAACAAACTATTCTTAATTGAAAATTATTTGGTTTGGCAAATTTGATGTTTTAAAAGTTGTAATGTTAGTTTGGGAAGAGTGCAAATTTTATTTTCAAAACTACTAACATTATTAAATTGGATAATTTATAGAAATCAAATATTAATACAATTTTAGATTTTGATACAGAGCACCTCCAATTCTGTTTTAATAACAAAGGTAGGGTTACCATTAAACTATTTACAAAGAAATTTCAAATAATATATTAGCAACATACTCTTGATAGCGCTAAATATGATTAACAATAATAGATAGAAAGAATCTGGACATATTTATACAGTGAGTAGAAATAGTAACAGGAGCAAGTAAGTATTAGAGTTAAGAACAATCAAAATTACAAGTTGCAAAATGTTGCCTTAAGAATAAGCACTCAAAATTCTTGTGATAAATATATTATGAATCACCAAAGTACTAAAATAGCAATATTTGGAATTGGAGCAAGCTCTTACATTCCTGATCATTAACAATTTAAGGTGGAAGTAATTCAGCTCAAGAGTATCTGTCTGAAGTCAATAAGAAAAAGAACTTTTTAATCCTAGTGACAGAAAAATAACAGCCAATATCTACCATCAATTTTCATTTTATTTGAAGAACAATATATATTCAACACAATAATTAATTTAGCGATATTTACTCATGGCAAGTATGTTACAACAGAATTTAGGGAAGTAAATAAAAAATATTTATAATATTCTTTATGCATCAGCTTATACTCATGCTTTAAGGATGAATCTATGATTGAACAAATGCAAAACAGAAATAATTCATATACTAAAAGTGCATTAAAATGCTTTATCGTTTGATGAAAACATTGTCCTAAGTAGATATAAAGTATGAAAGACTTCAATACTTTTAATCTAAATAGCTAAGCAAGAGTGGCAGGTTTAATTTAGACATGAATAAAATTAAATGTGATTATAAGCTCAGGATTAGATAAATAAAATGCTTGTAGATATTGGCAGAATATGAGCAATAAATAATTCTGCTAAGAGGTATTTGAAATTGATATAATTGACCTTATAAGCAAGAGGCAAAAACTGAATGCAAATCTGCAATCTCCATTATAAAAATGAAATCATTTTACACAACAGCCACAATTTAATTATTATAGGTACACTTGTAACAATAAAAGAACAACAGAAGCTACCATTCGACATAAGCCTGATCATTTACATAAAGGTGATAAATTCAATCTTGTATGTTTGTTTGATTGCATAAAATAATGGTTCGGATACAAATTAATGAATCAGTTATCAACATAGGGTGTATGAAGGTCTAGAATGAAAAAGAAAAATAAGTGGAATTACAATATATTGAGGAGGTGAATGAATAATCTCGGACGGTGTGGCAATCAGCAAAAAATTAGCATTTCAATCACACTTCTTGCATGAAGAATTCCAAATATCGAATGGTGGTTGGGGACGCTTCAGCATTAGAATTTGCTCTTTTTATTTGAACAAAACTATTGTTGATGATTAAACTTAGAGTAAGAAATTATATCAAAAACTAGTGCAACAATGAATAGTAATCGCAAGTGTTCCATTACACTATTCGCAAAGGAAAATGAAAGTTACATCCTGAATTTCATAAAAGAGTTGAGGATGCTAATGCCTTTAAAAGCAAAGAATATGTCAGCTGTTTAATTTATAATTTGCTTGCTTTTTGTATGAGACAGAATTACAAGGCAGCAATAAAAAATTAAACAAAACTGTAGTTAAATACAGATCTGCAATATTGTAGCACAAATTCAACATTAAACTGGCAATTTTTAAATACATTTATTGACATTTTTAACATCAATCGAGAGTTTTCCCTCAATATGAAAAATTATTATTATATGGAATGCATCTTCCTAAACAGTTAATAAAATCCATCTCTTAAAATAGGTATAAAAGTAGGACTAAATGAGGAATTAGAAGTACAAGCAAAGGCATCAAATATTCTAGGTACGCGAAATTTAGTTCAAGAGTTACTTGTTCAAATTACCTACAATAGTGGGTCAAATAAATAAGATCATCAAATATAAAGCAAATGAGGTATATAATAGGCTTAACACAACCGATTGCTTATCCAGTACTCTAAAGAATTTCAAATATTATATAAAAAAATAGGGGAATTTCCATAGATTACCTCAACTTTAAAGCTTTTCATCTAATAATTTCATATCCATCTGCAAGTGAGTGTAATGTACATCACATAGCTAATCCATTTATAAAAAGTAAGAGCTCTGTTGACACTTAGGATAATTTGCAAGTACTTAACACTGTAAGAGTAAATTAATTACTGGAATACAACAATAATATAGAGAGCAGTCAGAATATAATTGAGGAATAGTTTAACAAGAAGAAGTTAGTACAATTTTTGCTGAATTTTGATTATTAGCATGGATTACTTTACCTCTCATTATGAACTAACCTTTATTTCATTAAATCTACAATAAGAAATAAATAAATTACTAATTGCATTGGGTTGTGAATTATCAAGGTGCTCTTGTAGTAGAATCATATTCTAGAATCATGATAATTACCATTAAACAAAATTTGAGTCATTTATTTGTGTCTTATAATCAATTAGTTGTAAAATAACCTGAGCAAAGTGTGCAATGATGACTTTCATTTGCTTCATAAGATCCAGCAACATAATCTGTTTGTTAGATAAGAAGCAGCACTAATGTAGTGTAATAAAAATTCAAATCTTTGCATGAATTATAATACTGTAGCCATTTGAACACTCAAGAACAAGTAGAACTCTTTAAATGCTTAGCATATGCTAAACTACAGTTATTTCAATAGAAGAGAAAACTTATGAATAATAAAACAGAAAATAAAGACTATGATTTGAGATATAATTTACGTAAATTAATAAAAATAACTATCCTTATATTTAATGAAAATGGAAGATCATATTAGAAAGTTAAAAGTTTGATTCAAAATGTTATTTACAAATTACAGGGTGATGACTTATTCTCTAAAACCAAGGCAACCACTAAAAATATATTAAATAATCGCAAGGCTTGTAAGTATAGTAAATAATTAAAAGAAATTAATATTTTTAAAAATTTAAAATGTCAAGAAAAAGATACAGTTCTGGTTCCAAGAGACACAGCTCTCCCAAAGGGCAATTCAATTCAACATCCCCCTAGGGTTTGGGTTTGGGTTTGGGTTTGGGTTTGGGGTTTGGGGTTGGGTTTGGGGTTTGGGGTTGGGTTTGGGTTTGGGG